TGCAGTGATGTAGGTGAGAGATGACAGAGCTGTAGGGAAGTGGCAGTGGGGGGGGGTGAAACCGACAGATCTGGGGGACACGCAGAAGAACGGACAAGCCTCGGCAGTTTACTAGATCCATTGTGGGGAGAAGGAGCGTTGTTGCCATTCACCCAGCACGACACCCTAGTCCTGGACGGGTAGATGACTAACCGTCTGCACCCAGTGGATGGATGAACGTATTTTCTGGGCTCAGTGCTCATGTGCGGGAGACAGGCAGAGACCAGCATGGTGCGATTAAATCTCCTTTTCTTTGTATTGAGTCCCCAGCTAGCAGAACGCTTCCATAAACACTGTCTAGGTTCCTCTCGATCGAAGCGGCTTTGCCTGCTGTCAGTGCTTGAAGTGTCGCCATTGGAGACATGCCGTGGTGTGGGTAGAAGGAGCAATGGTCTGGGAATTGGAGGCCCGGGTTAAATTCCCACTCTGCACTTGGTGTCCATGGGAACCTTGGCAGTCAACGAACTTGGTTTCGTCATTTGCAAGATGGAGATAAGGCCCGTTTTACAGATTTGCTGTGAGGATTAAATGAAAGCACGTGTGCAAAGGCATCCGGCTTGTTCCTAGACCAGGGCAGGTGCTTGACAAGAAATTGGTCAAGTCTGGGTCTCCAAACTGAAGGCAGGATCCTCAGGCTGAAAGCAGAGGACACGGGAGAGTGATCGGGGGTGGGGGGGAGTTGGTGTATCAAGGGGGGTCGGGCTGTCTGAAGGAGCTCAGGGGACAGTCTTCCCCAGGCCTCAGTTTCGCTCTGGACGGGCTCAGCAGCAGCAGCCAATGATCCACAGAAGCAAGAGGAGAGTCAGATCAAAGAGGTGTCATTTTGGACACAAAAATCTTGGCATTGCAGTGGTCCCTTCTTAAAGCATTCAGTGAAGATTGGGAGGCTATTGATCTAGCCATCTCTTTTGGCTGAGTTTAATGCTAGCAGTAAGGTGGACCCTTGTCTCCTTCAGCTCACAGAGCGAGTACCAGCACCCACCTCCTGACATCTCCCGACTAAAGCTGCCCGCCTGGGAATGTGCTGTGTGGACCTAGAGACCACCAGATGGCTGAGAGCCAGCTGGGGCACACCTGTGCCTGTGTGCAGAGGAGAGAGGGGAACTGGGAGAGAAAGGCCACACAGCGGCCTGTGGCTGGGTCTTGGGGTCAGCGACTGTCGCCCAGAGGTTTTTCTTCTGCGTACAGTGCTCTGCTACTTCCTCTAGCCCAGCGCCCAGAGCTGGGCTGCTCCAGCGTGTGGTCAGGGCGAGCTGCAGCCCATGCTCTGCAAGTTAGCGGCACTGGGGGGCTCCGCGTCCTCTGCCTCCCTCTGCCCACCCCTACTCTGCCCCACTGAGATCCTGGAATCCCAGTATATTCTCAATATATTTCTTTTCTCTGGCAAGAGACCCTAGTTCCTGAAAGGACTCAGCCTTCTTATTTACCAATATGCAACTCAGGAAGAGCACGCCGAAGTGGCCAACTGCCCCCCACTCAGGCTCTCTAAAGTAGAATTAGGGGTTCATGAGTCACTCTCAGTATTTCTAAAGCCCAGTGGAAGTTGTCTCCCGTCCTCCACTCCCCCATCAGGGGAACCGTACACCCCTCGGCTCTGGCTGGCTGTCATGCCCTAGTGCAGTGACACTGCTTGCACCTTGCTGAGGGCTGGATTCAGGCCTTCCCTGTCCCTCCTCAGCCCTGGCCTGATGCAGAGGCTCCCACTGGTGCCCCGTGGAGTCCTCTCCTTCCTGCTCCCGCCACACCAGACGGGGGTTCAACTAGAGACGGGAGCAGGAGGCAGAGGGAAGCAGTGGCTTCTCGTGCATTTGCTTCTAAGAAAAAAGGCTTTTGGCCCCTGCGTCCTCCCCCCTATAGCAGCCTATTTTCAGTTGTGGAGACGGAGTGGGAGCCAGGGTCCCCGGCCCAAGACAGCCCACGCTGAGGCAGCAATGACAGCCTGGCCTTCGTGGCTGACATGAGGCATCAGCACCTGCTGGGGAGCAGTGGCAGCTGACAGGCAAGCCACAGCCACCCAGAGGAGCAGCCTCCACAGCAGCGTGGCCACCCGACGGGCCCTGGTGGCTGCAGTGCTGGCCAGACGGGGCGCTCGCCCCTCCTTCGGTCCGTCTGTGTGCCGTGTGTCCACACGCACACACACAGTGGTGGGCGGTGAGCAGTTGTCCCTGTCTAGTGGGATAGATGACTGTGAGTGTGCCTGGGATGGCCCATTCTCCTGTCTGACATCCACACCATGAGAGGACTACTGCAGCCGTTCAGCGAGCAGTCGGACCCTGACCAAAGAGGCTCAGAGACACAGCAGAGTGGGGCAGGGGCTGTAGATGCCCCTGCAAGGTGTGTCCCACCTGGGGACTTCCTCAGGTAGACCAATCTGCTCACGCAGCAAGTGACCAGGTCCCTTTCGGGTGCACACCAGGTGAGTGGTTCAGCGCTCAGCTGCCTCCCTGATCCCTGCTCTTCCATCTTGGGATCCCTTGAGCCCACGTTACCCAGGTCCTCCTCAGGCTCCCACCCCACTTTGAGCAGGTGTTCTAGACAGAACAGTGAATTAAAGGGAATGAGTGTTTTATGCCATAAATGACAAAACATTTGCTTCCTTTTAGCTCTGCACTGGGCAACCTGGTGCCCTCAGCAAAGATTGAGTCTTTGGGAGAATGGTGCGAAGGCAGCATCTGAGCAAAGGCAGGAAGCTTGAAGGGAACACGCTGCAAGTGCACTTGTTTGAGCCTGGCCAGGAGCTAGTAACACTCGTGAGCAGAAGAGGTCAGTGCACTCAAATCATGATGGTAGCTGACACAGGAAGAGCATGCGGGACCCTAATCAGTGCAGTCAGTGGGTTTACTAATGGGAGAGCGGAGACCAGCACAGCGGCTTCAGGATGTAGCGGTGGTCACGACACATTTGGTGATTTCTTGGGATTTCCTTGCAGAGGAGAAAAACCAGACCAACACAAGGTAGTCCTAGATACAGTTCCTTTATTATCATGGCCCGCAGCATGTGAAGTCAAGCTTACACTGAGATCACAAGGACAGGGACCTGGGACAACTAGAGCAATTTCTCTAAATGTGGTAGATTAAGGCAAATTCTGTTTCTAGAATATTGTGATGACCCATATCCATGAGGCAGCGGGTTCCAGGAGCCCATCTGGCCTCACTAATGTTGGGCTGTCTGGAATTACTAGTGGCACTTGCGGGTGCACGCGGGGGCGGGTGGTGTCTCAGGTGCATGAACAGGAGGAGGAGGAGGCACGTGGGTGGCAGGTGCGGGCTACAAGGCTGTGTGCTGAACTGAAGTAGAAAATGCAGGCCCCGGGGATGGAACAGGGCCCTCCCAAGGCACATAGGTGGCGGCAGGAAAACAGGAGCTGGGGAGCATAATGTGTTCCCTTCCAGGAAGTGGACCCAGGCACCTGGTCTCCTGGCTGAGGTCACAGACCCATCAGAGAGCCCTCTGGGGCAGGGCGGGAGCTGCAGGGATGTACCATGGACTTGGGGAGGCGCTCTGTGGCTGGCTGTGAACTGACCACAGTGCAGCTCCACCCCCACAGGCACTCTCCTGGGAGCAGTCTCAGCTGCTGCAGGTGGGACTCATGCCAGACAGCCAGAGGGGCTTCTGACCCCCCAGGGTGGTGACATATAAAGGAAGGTGGCCTGTCCTCCTTTGTGGCGTGACCTAGAGCCATGGTCCTCTAAGTGTGGCTCCAGGACCAGCAGCATCAGCATCCCCTGGGAACTTGTTAGAAATGCAAATTACTGGCCCCACCCCTCCTGATTAGAAACCCCTCCTGGGGGTGGGGGCCGCGCGCTGTTCTGAAACGCCCCTCAGGTGATTCTGATGCGAGCTCGGGTTTGCTCACTACCATCCCAGCAGGTGCGAGCGCCACCCAGTGGCCGGACAGAAGACTGGTTCTGTTCTCAGTCATCAACCCGCCTCCCCTTCTCCTCCCCTTCACCCTCGGGCTCCAAGTGGCCAGTCAGCAGAGGACGTTCTCAAGGCTGGGAGTGGGCTGGTGGTGATGACAGTGACTGTTCCAACTCACTCCCCTGCCTCAGAACCCTGTGGTGGGCCCAGAGCGGCTGTCGCCGAGGCCCAGGTTGAGCGCAAGGGTCCTGGGGCACATCGCGCTGACCTATCATACCACCCCCAGTGCCATGAGGGGCCTGCAGATCTAAATGCCTACGGCTGTGCCCACGGGGAGCTCCTGAGACAGGAATCACGCTGTGTCCACCCAGAGCCCCAGCAACAGCGGGTGCACAATACAGAGGAGGGGTGAGGAGGCAGAAAAGGGACCCACCTGAGGACAGGCAGTCAGCATCCCCACACCAGGGCCTCCCCCCACCCAGGGTGGCTCTGTGAGTGGATGTGACCTGAGATTCTCTCCCGACCCCCAGTGTGAGGCAGGGAGACGCATTTCGTGCCCCAGACAGCCTCTCCACGTGGGCGTGAGGTGTCACACCCTCTAAGGAGGCTCTGAGGACATCAGGTGATGTCAGCAGGGGTGAGGCGTGGCCCCTCCCAGGAGCCGTGGCCCCTCTCTGGGCTGTGAGGGGTGGTTCCACCCAACCTGCATGCACAGTCTGGAAGATGACCCCAGGACAGTGAGGTTCAGGCAGAGCGCCCCTCTACTCAGAGCCTCCCCTTCTTGGTGGCTCCAACTTTGCAGGGCCTGTGATTTGGTCCACTCTGGGAGGATTTTTATACCCACCAACATTCAGAGCTGAAGATGATTTTTTTTTTTCCTTTTTGTCTTTTTTCGTGACCGGCAACAGATCGCAACCCTCAGTGTTGCGCCCGTACCGGACCAGGACCGGCAACGGGATCGCAACCCTCGGTGTTGCGCCCGCACCTTGCTCAGCCAGTGAGCGGCCGGTCTGTATGTGGGATCCGAACCCTCGGCGGGAGCGCCGCTGTGCTCCCAAGCGGCGCACTGTAGCAGTGCGCCACCGGGCCAGCCCCAGAACTGAAGATGATTTTAAAACCTGGCTCCTGAGAATCAGGCCTCGGAAGGGGAGATGCCTGGGGGCATATTACTAGAGGCTGGGGCTTGAGGCCAGTCTCCCAGGGGATCTCTCCCGGGAAGGCTGCAGGGCTGTTCCTGCTGCAGCACGTGCTGCTGTGGCTGATTTACCCTCTGCTCCCTGCCTCGGCAGCTCCACCCAGCCCTGCAGGAAGGAACAGGCCCACAGGATATTGCCTTCCAGGAGAGACAGTGTGCGGAGTGGACATACCAAAGGGCGGGCGAGGTCTTCTGGGGAAGAGCCAGCCCTCAGTGCCCTGCCCAGAGTGGGGAGCAGGACGGAGCTGCTGAGCATCAACAGGGAACTGTGCACCGAGTGCCAGAGTCCAGAGGGGCTGGGTCTTCCCTCTGGTCCAGGTTCAGGAGCCCAACTCTCCCTCTTCTGTAGTCCATGGGCGTCCCACTCCCCTGCCCAGGATCTGGCAGGGAGCATTCAGAAATGCAGGGAGGGGGCCGAGGGTCCCTGCCTGGGTGGGAACAGCAGGAGCTTGGGTCCAGGCACTTGGTGGGTTTGCAGGAGCTGGACACAGAGCACAGGGAGCCTGTGGCCCTAGTTGAGCTGTGCTGACTCTGCAGGCCTGGCAGATGGGATGTGGTCACCTGTCTTTGAGAGGGGCAGTTGGAAGGGGACGTGGTTGGTCATTAGTAAAAGTGCCGCTGGAGCTTCCGGTGTAAGCAGCAGGTGAGAACCATCCCGCAGATCTGCCAGTGGAAAAAGCAGAGGAGCAAAGAAATCAGAACCCCTCGAAGCTGCGGCCAGCAATGCTCTGGAGTGGGCCGCGTTCCGGAGCAGCAATGCTCCCCTGGAGTGCATGCACGCACGCATCTCCTGGATCCCACTCAGAAGGCCTGGGTTTCTAACACGCGCCCAGGTGATGCTGGTGTGTGTGGCGGAACCACACTCTGGGAACTGCTATGCAAGAGCAGTGTGTGTCACACTTCAATGGGCACGAATGACCCAGGACCTTGTTACATGGCAGGTTACAATTCTGTAGGCCTGGGTGGGGGCCTGAGAGTCTGCATTTCTGACAAGCTCCAGGTAGATGCTGCTGGTCTGTGGCCCTAGGTCTTCTCCAGGATGACCTGACTTAATTAGATCCCGAGCAGTAACATTTGCGCTCCCTCACTAGAGCTGTCTGACGGAGTCTTTTCTCTATGAAAGTCTGCTTGCCCTTGGACTCCAGAGCAAAACTAAGGTCCACTATTGATGCTGGCTGATGTACGGAAACCACTGGGGAAACTGAGACTCTGGGACGGGTACCCAGAGCTGTCACCAGCTCCTCCTGCCAATCAGCTTGGAAGGCAGCACCAAATCCAGGCCCTGGGGGTCCCGCGCACAGCCCCTCTGCTGGCATCCACCAGCTGGGCAAGAAGAGGCTAAGGGCATCCTGCCCAAAGCACACGCAGGCTTGGGAAAGCCACTTTTCCCATTTCTAAATGCAGCGGACTTTTATTCTCTCCCCTTGCTCCCACTGGACCTGCTCCTCCTGCCTCCTCCTCCTCTCCTCCCTCTCACCCGAGGATGCAGAGAGGACAAGGAGATGGGGATGTGGCAGGCCAAGGGGCCTCGCAACTGTCATCATGATCCTGATAATGATGATGACATGTCGTTGGAGCTCAACTCTCTGTCTAGAGCAGCCCACAGCCGTCCCGTGGCAGGCACATGGGGTGAAGGTGCATTCCCCCAGCATAGGAAGCAATGCCTGACTTTCTGCAACTTCTCCAGTAGCTGCTGCTGACCTGACCTTGCCAATGCAAACCTGGATGCCTGTGGAGCTCTAGCCAGCAGGAGCAGGACAGACCGATGGAGATGCGTGTGAGTTCGTGAGCCCTTTGGTCCTCTTTGCAAGGCTAGCTCAAGGAGGCAACACAGGACGACCCTGTCTTCTCCTCTCGCCTCCCTCCTCTCTGTCCCAACCCAGCTTGGAGGACAATGGAGGCTGTGAACACTGCCTCCAGCTTTCAGGCTTGGTGCTAAGCACTGCATTAATCCACCTTGGGGACTTGGGGTCACAGCCAAAAGGCGGCTTAAAAGGTTATCCTGTCTCCCAGTAGCTTTAAGCAGGAGGCTGTCACAGCCACTCCTCCAGTGTCATGCAGCACACCCTCTTCCCCTGTCTCCACCTCCTGGTCTGATGGTTTCCTGTGGGGTTATCTGGATCTTCCTGATCCATGCTAAGGGAGCAGCCAGAAAGGAGACGTGCTAGAAACCATGTCCACGTCACCATAGTGTACATTTCATGCTGGGGAGGACTGGAGGAGCCGACCTATCTTCCCAGGGTGCCTTCCAGGAGAGGCACAGTAAGAGCAGAAGTGTGTGGGCCAGACTCATCAGTGTGTGTCCACATGCGCACACACACACGTGCACACACACGTGCACACCCCCATCCTGAATCATCAGGAGGAATAAAGGTTGCTCTCATCAGCATGCGTGCACATGCGCACACGCACACCCCCACCCCACCCCAAGTCACACAGTGGTAAAGGATGCTAAGCCATCAGACCCCTGAGAATCAGCACCTCCCTCCTGACAGAGGACACACAGAAAGCAGAAGGATGGCTCCAAGCATCCAGCACGGGGTCGGCAGAGACAACACAGGGCAAGGGCACTGCGGGAGCTGGAGGCAGCAGAGGGGCTGCTGCATGGTGCACGGTGCTCTCTGCCAGTAGCGGCCTGAGAGTAGCACTGGGCACATATGGGGCGTTTTTAACAGGGAAGCCACTATGCTTGTGGCTTCTCGTGAAGGCTTCTGAGCCAGCACCTGGTTGTCATCAAAGAGCATGAAGGGAGGGCCAGAGAGGTTCTGGAAGTCATTCCAAAATGATTGTTTGATTTCTCTTTTTTAATGACCTGCAGATTTCAATCTTGGCTGTCTTATGAGTTTTCTGGGCTCTGAAACATGTTTCCATCCTGCAGTGTGGGAGTCGGGGTGGTGGTGGGCTAGGTTTTATTTGGAGCTTGCACCAATGGGCTGTGTGATCTTGGGGACAGTTACATTCCTCTCTGAGCCTCAAATCCCCCTCCATCAACAGGAAAACCTCCAGTCTGTACATTGGTTCAGGGCCTTCCCTGGTGAGATTCTTGAAAAACTAGGATAACAGGAACCAACAGCACAGCACCCAGACCCTCTTGGACACTAAGCCTATGAGAGGCCAGGTGGTGGCTCCCCAGGGCCCTCAGGATACCCCCCCCCCCAATCCTCACCAGCTAGCCAGGGCTTTGCACATGCTGTTCCGTTGGCCTGACTCTCTCCCCTCCTGCCAGCTCCTGTCAAACTCTCCCAGGGCTTGATTATATATCACTTCCTCCAGGAGGCCTTCCCTGGCCTCCCGTGTCTGCTCCCCCAAATCCTGAGGCTCACACTAACACAGCACCTGGGGCTGCACTGTGACTGCCCGTGCACCTGTCTCCTTCCCCAAGTGGAAGCTCCCTGGGGGCAGGAGCCACACGCTGCCCACAGTGGGGCCCCAGCCCTGGGCACGGTGCCTGGCATACAGCAGCTGACACAGAGCACGTGCCCTTCAGCCCCTCTGCATGTCCCCTGGAGTTGGGAGGGCCTCCCAGGACTCTGTGTGAGGAGACCAGTGGGAAAAGAGGGCTGCTGCTATATCCTTTTTAGTAAAAAGTTTCCCAGTTAGAATATTCTAGAAATTAGCTTCTAAAGATACCTCAGAGCGGAGCACCTCCAGAGTCCGCCACAAGAGGGGAAGCTGGTGTAAAGGAAAGAGGCCCAGGAGTTGGGGCCCTGGCTGGCTCTGCCACAGCAGCTGTGTGGCCTTCAGCAAGTGGCTTTCCAGCTGGGCTTGGTGTCCTCAGATGCATGTGAATATGAGGGCCCGGAGGTTCTCAATCCCAAATGCACGTTTGACTCACCTGGGGGGCTTTAAAAATACCCATGCACCATCCTCATCCCAGACAGTGAGCCAGCATCTGTGCAGACAGGCCTGAGCAGTGGTGTTTTTAACCCTGGGGGGCTGACAGCACTGGTCCAGGTCTTCAAGGTCCCTCCAGGTCTAGGAGTCTATGACTTGGGGCACTGCCGGACTCCGGTGATCCCGTTCAGGTCTGAGGCTGCCCCCAGGGTAGTGAGTTACATGATGCGGGAGCCCGTGGGCCCTGCCGGAAGGAGCAGGTGCTCTCCTGGGATGCACAGTCTCCGAGTGGAAGGGATCAAGGGCAGGGGTCCCTCCCTCTGGCATCCCTGCCAGTTCCCAGCCTCTACTCCAACCTGCAGCCACAGAGAGCGAGCTTAGTACTCTGCAAGGACCACGTTATTCTAATTGTTAAAAAGCTCTCGGGCCGGCCCCGTGGCGCACTCGGGAGAGTGCAGTGCTGGGAGGGAAGCGACGCTCCCGCCGCGGGTTCAGATCCTATATAGGACTGGCCGGTGCGCTCACTGGCTGAGCGCAGTGTGGGCGACACCACACCAAAGGTTGCGATCCCCTTACCGTCATGAAAAAGACAAAAAAAAAAAAAAAAACACCTCTCAAATTTGTCTCTGTGTAAATTCCACCTACTCTTCCTGCTCTGTCTTCTGGAACCTCCCAGGAAAAGTCCTTCCCCCCCCCCCCCCCCCCC